CAACTCAATTAAAACCTAAACTATGATGATCAAGACACAAACAATTATAAATACGAATCTTATGTTGTTTGGCATGTCATGCTTTCCTACAACGTATTGCCTGATCCAATGATATGTTGACCTCTCACAACATCTGATTTTTGACGCAATATCCGATTCTTCTAGTCTAATACCCAATCTTTGACATAATCCACTCCGACCTAACGTTTGATTCTCCTACTTCAATCGATTTTCCTTTCCACGATCGAAGTTAGTCCTTCATCACTTTTCTCAAACATTGATTATATCATAAACTCATCAATTGATTTCATCATCAAAATCCGGGATTGAGTAATCATAATATATTAATCAAACAATATAAAGTGAGAAAATATCATAATAGTTATAATAACAAAAAAAACTATGCAGTGTCTCTCATGTGTCATCACTCACCTGATTGACTTATAGGGCACTTGTAACTAACAATTAAAATCTTAACAATTAGTCTTAAAACAAGATTCTCTAAGTTGGATTAATATCCAACAAAGATCTAATAGCATTTTTAGACAATAAAGATGATTACTTCTTCATTTGTCCTCCTATGTTTAATGGGATAGAAAACTAGAATGAATTTTTTTTACTTTCTATATATTTTGAATTATAGAATATTGTCGAGGTTGATTTTCATAAAAGTCTTTTAAACCGATAGATGAATGAAACCAATTTTTTTTATAAAAATATTAAATCTATAAATAATTTATTTTGTGCTACTGCATAATATATGGTACATAATTAAAGTCATTTACAAAGTATAAATAAAATAAAAAAATTAAAATTAATCTTTTGATTTATAATTATGAACTAGCTATACATATCCTATGCTACAACATATCCAATCAATCACCACATCAGTTGAACGAAAACAACCAAACGTTATACACATATCAATGCGTACTCGATATTACCTTGTATACCCGGTCATTCTTTCACATCAGTTGAGACCCTCTCACCTCATTAATGTGAGCGTATGTATCCCTTTCATCTTATTAAATGTGAGCCTATGTTTGGTAACATTAACACTCAACCGTTCAGCAAATGCCTTTAATAATGGCTATTGGTAATTCTGCATAATTATCCCTAGATTAATTTCCATTTTAACTTTAGTTGTATTGAGCTTCCTATAAAAAAAGCAAAGCCTCATATGTGCTCCTCTCAAAATCCCCCTACTAACTTAAATATTGGAAAGTCTTTTGCTTTATATAACCCGACGTATAGTCTTTGTTGAATTTATTGTCGAACCTATTCATCTTTAGATATCAAATTTATAATATATTTTTTTCTTATAATATTGGACTCGATTACAAACCCAACCTCACTTGCAGACCCAACCTCTCCTTGAAGTTTAGAATGTCATTGAACCGTTGATTGAGTATGATTCTTCAAGTAGAGTTGAAGTTATTATTGAAGTTGAAGTTTCAGGATCATCAGGAACATGTGCACCGAACATGAATATAATCTTGGAACTGTCCTAAACTTCTCGTATGATAGCATATTAAAAGAAGTTAATTGCATGCCCAATGAATGGTATGATGTTACCACAGATAGTTCTTTAGGTTGTAAAAAAAAAGATTTAAAATTGAATAAAGCTGATCTATTTTCATTATTCGCACAATTTTGCCTCATTTATCTTGTGAGCTTCTCAGTTCGCGACGATGGGAATCACAAAAGCGTGCAATTCGGGAGTTACCGTGAGAATCCACCGTTGGAAGGTAAGAAGAGAGTTAGATGACTGCGTCAGAGACTAAGATAAGCGAGAGAACTGGGCGAGCGAGATGCCGAGAATGGAGGGATCAGTTATAGTAACGTGAGAGTAAGGGGATAAACCGCCAGCATCGAAGGAAGTCTCCCCCTCTCTGCTTAATAGTTGGTAGTAGATCCTCTCTAAGATCTCTCTTCTGGTGAGTCGCCTTTGACGACGCAGCATCCAACCCACAAGTAAATCCTTAAGCTGTCTGTGTCTTTTGTCTTCTCGTCTTCCTGTCTTTTCAACTCAGTGTGTTTTACTGAACTTTACATTAAATGCTCCTACTCTCTAGTTTTCGGATACATCATAAGTTTATTAGTAGTTGAAGACGATCAATAGAATTCCCATGGCCACCGTTCTAATCATGCATGCACTTGCCATGCAGTGGTTCTCTTATATATCTCGATATTTGAAGATCTTTTTTGTTGCTTTATAATCTTTAGAGCATGTCAGCAGCAATCTTCTTACATCTCACACACCTATTTTTCGTTGTTAGCTTAGTAGGAGGTCTGACAACAGTGTTGCACTGCAGACAACGATCTGCTAGGCCATGGCGCTGAGCTTGGACGGCAGCTGGGAAGCAGCAGAACATCTGATCCCCGACGTAGGCCTCTTCCATGAAAGCCAATCCGAAGTAGCCGATGCGCTCCTCGGTTTCTTCTCCGACCCTGTCGAGGCTTGTCGCCTTCCCATCGACTCCCTCTTCGATCGACCGGGCGATGCCTACGACGACACAGGCCCCACCCTGCTCCACTCACTCGTTCCACACCCCTGTTTCTCTGCACCCTCCGTGGTGTCCCTCCCTCCCGAACTTTACGCACCAAGCGACGAATTCGATCTCTACCACCGTCCGAAGCGGCCCAGGAGCTGCAACGATCTGTGTCGCCCGTGGGAACTCATGCCCGAGGCCAACTCCTGCAATGTGGCCATGCCTGCACCAGCCGTGACTGGCTGCCAGGTACCTGAGCTCTCGACGGAGTTCATGGCCCCTCCTCTACCAGCAGTCGTGACACCGGCATGCGACGGAGAGAGGAAGGCGGGTGGCGGGTTCTTGTCTGCGCAGAGCGTGGCAGCGAGGGCGCGGAGGAAGAGGATCAGTGAGAAGACTCAGGAGCTCGGAAGGTTGATCCCTGGCGGCAACAAGATGAACACAGCTGAAATGTTTCAGGCTGCCTACAAGTATGTCAAGTTCTTGCAGGCACAGGTTGGGATTCTCGAGCTCATGGCCTCAATTAAGGTACAAAAGACTCGTTCTCAGTACATCCAATCTCAAAGCTTTGCCAGCGATGGATTCATTGGCCTTCATATGCAGGGCTGGAATGCGCCACAGCAGGTGGAGCAAAAGCTTCGACTTCTTCTTGCATCTACCGTCGTCCAAGAGAAGCTGTCAGGCGAAGGGCGATGCCTCGTCCCGGAGCAGGCGATCGAATCCATGTCCACGGGCCGGGACATCGAATCCGACATGCTCATCTCCAAGGATCTCGATCGCTTCATCGAATCAGTGGGACGATCCAATTAGTTCTCCACAACTGACAGTGGTGACGTCTTGTTTCTCTCATCTTACCCAACTTGTAACCTTTAACTTGCACTTTGTCGTGTATGAAGAAATGGATTGAAAGATTTCTTCACTCTCATGGCGGCCCAACAAATGTATTCTGATGGCTATTTACCTTTGGTTGGGCTTTTATAAATCCCGTGACGTGGCAACAGCTCAATCGTCGATTAACTTCTTGATGCATATTAGGGTTCATCCATGTCGTCCCTCCATATAAATATCTCCCCCTTTGCCGGCTCCTGCCCTCGTCGAAGCTTTTACTTGGGGTTTCCGTTTCTCTTTGCGTCGGAAAAATGATTACCGGCGGTTCTCTGCGATGACCGCCGTGTACGAGTCGACGCCACATGCAGGCAACCCTTCCGCCATCTGCTCCGCTTTCGCGAGTTGGCCCTGATTTCGGTCGGATCGCAGATGCCGGGTTTTCTATCTGGTTTCTCTTTGTTGACTAGTTCTTTATCTCTCTTTTTCGTTCTCAATTTGAAGAAGATTGGCGGAGGTGTTTGTGGGGACGTGATGATCCTTTTCCCCACATGATCGACGATGAATTCACCGCGTCTCCTTTCTTCTTGTTCTCCCCTAATTCGTGGAGAGCTAAGAATTCAAGCCAGCAGTTCTGATCCCCGATTCCTCCATCATTTTCATCTTCTTTTGTTCTGTATATTGCGTGGATTGTGTGAACAGTAATGATGCGGTGATGGGTCTTTCCTCCGGATGATTGAATATGAACTTACTGTGCGCCATTCTTTCCTCGAAGGAGGAGATAAGCCAGGACTCTGATCTCCATCACCTCGACGCAATTCCAAAGCATCAGTCCATTAGCTACGTCGAACAACCACGGATTTAGCTGATTTGCCCAGAGCATGGTTGCTCTCGAATCAGAACAACTCTCTCAAATATCTGTACAAAGGACTAGTTGGTGAGCGAGAGCGCGGGAAAATTGTTGTCGTTCTACCAAGGATTACAGATTTACTGGTTAACTTCGTTGTTCCAATCCGAAATTAATATGAAATGTTTCAGAATCATATAATCTTTATCATGATAAAGAAAGTAAACCGAGAAATTTCATCTAATCTCATCTTAAACCTGACTTATTGGTTTAGGCATCGCAACCTGTCTCAAATTCTATTTAGCTAATTGTATCTTTTGTAAATTTTGTTAATGAAATATTTTAATGTAAGAATAGGGTAAATTTTAATCACCTATGATTGGCAATTCCATTATGGTCCTTACCAACTTTTATGTATACCGATTCAATTTTGGGTGCTTTATTATATATATATATATATTTATATTAATATATATGTGTTTTCGAGCGATGCGAGGGGCTAAAATCCCAATCATGTATGATTAGGTCACGAAGGGAATGATAGTGTGAGATCGTCCTCAGCTTGTAAAGGTACTTAATTTCAATGACCGCAAACTGCAGTTTTACTATCCTGATGCAGTGTAGCTACTTAGCAAATTGGGGTAAGTTAGATGAGCACGTGGCAGACTCAAGAACATGTACGTTGTTTCGTCTCACCGACGTCGCCAGTGTCTCGCAGGGCCCGTCCCACTTTGTGGGCTCCACGAGTCGACCACGTAGACGAGATGCCGACAGCTCTGAATCGACCCGTTTCGATTCCTCTCAGTTCCGAAAGCGGACCCAAGTATTCACGCCTCCCTCTCTCTCTCTCTCTCTCTCTCTCTCTCTTCGGCATTCCCAACAGGTTAAACCAGCACATGAGGAAGCCGCAGGGGGCGAGGGTTCGCCTCTCGCCGCGGGCCCTGATGCGACCCCCTAGCCCCAGATCCACCATCCCGGGTCGCTGTCTTTCCTCTCTTCTCCTCGTTGCCGCGGTCACCTTGCCCTGCGCCGTGCTCTACCGCGCCGCCGCGCCCACCTCGTCCCCATCGTGGCGGCCCGGCCCTGCGATCCCCGATACCTCTCCCATCGCCACTCAATTGGTGAGCTATTCTCCTCCTCCTCCTCCTCCTCATCATCATCATCATCATCATCATTGAGGATCTTCCAGTGAGCACGCTCGAAAGCGAGCGACGGTTTCAAGAATGCGATCGTTTCACCGTCTTAGAAACTCGTGATTGATTATCCGTTGCTCTTTCTCCTCCTTCCCCCCTTGGTCCCATGGGGCAGCTCGGTGCATTTTCGACGTTTCTCCACGGAGTGACGCTAATGCCCTCGGATTTTATTTCTGTTTAGCTCGAGTTGTTTTTTATGGTGGCGAATTAGGACGAATAATTATTAAATTAGACGATAGCGTTTGCATTCTATTCTGGTTTTTACATGTATCCTTGCAGAGTTTAGAGTTATTTTACTTGTATTTGCAGATTTTTACGTAGCATAAAATCGCTCTAATTATTAAGATTCTCCACATATATCCTTCTATTGGCATCCATCCAAATAAACTCAGTTTAACCAAAAGGTAATGAGTATACCAGTTCTTAGTTTCAGTTTAAAAACATAAAGTTATAAAATAAACATAATATTCTTATCATCATAAGTTTTTAAGGAGTACTTATATCAATTTGAGTTTTAAGCTAATAGAGATTAATTACAAAGTTATACCTACAAATTTTTAGAATTGACAAGCACATATATTCTAGACTCAAGTTAAAAGGGATAAATATGATTGTGCTTTTGTTTTATAACGAGTTTCAACTCGTCTTTCGGTTCATCTGCTTTAGCTGGAGTTGGACCTAACTGGTTCTGTTCACCTTGCTGGTTTCTGGCCTAGGCTGTTTTATTTGTTGTTGCTAGAATGATTGAATCATTCTCTCCATCTCTTCCTCCCTCCCCCCTTCCTCTCATGATAAAAGTTAAAAATTGAACTGCTCTTGACGTTGCAATTAGAGAAGAAGAAAACATTGCTGCGGTTGCACTGTATTGTAAAAGATCTTATGATGAAATTGCCTATGAATAGTCTGAGGTGTTTACCTCCAGGATCAGGAGTATAATTTATGTGGTAAAGTTCCATGAAGATGGGGATACACCATGTTCGTCTTGTATGTAAGTGTCTCGAAGCCAAGCCTTCTCGCTCGATGTATCTACTATCGAATATGAATCACATCTCACCATATATATGTTACTAGAATTACAAGGTACCCAATTCCGTTTAGTCATGACACTTTCTTTTTCCACCATTATATACTTTTTTGTGCAATTAATCCGTAGCAATTTATTCCATAGTTGCTGCAGCCGTTATGTAAAAAAATTGTTCTTGGCATAGTTAGGTGCTCATAGCTTGTTAAACTCTGAATTCTAAATTGCATATGCATACTAGATATCAAACTATGCACCTTTAAAGAACCCAAATGTGTAATTAATGGGATCAATTACAACTATTTTTTCAGCATTATCAGCATTGTAATGAAAAGATCTGCCAGTCATGCCAGCCTCCGCTATTACTTTCTTATGGTGCTTTTCAAGTGCTAGTAATTTCTTACTGCTCAACTATGCTAACTCTTAAGTCTTAATGCATTCCAAAATGCATGATACATGAACATTTTTCCATGCTATTTATTGAAAATTGTTGTCTTTGACATTTAGACTGATTCTTTCTGCTACAACCACAATACTTCATGCAGGAACCATTTATTAGGAGTTTGCTTATTAGAACAATACATTGTATTTGAAATTTTCCAACATTTTCTTGATACTTTATATTGTTTTACTTGACCTCTAACAAGATTTTGGAGAATTTTGCAGGAAAGTGAGGATGTTCGGCTTGAGAAGGTTCTGGAGGAAGCAGCAATGGAAAACAAAACAGTAATATTGACCACATTGAATGCGGCATGGGCAACTCCTGGATCCATTATAGATTTATTCATTGAAAGCTTCCAAATTGGTGATGGAACACGCAAACTTCTCGACCATTTGGTTATCATTGCATTGGACAAGCAAGCATACATGCGGTGCTTGTCTATACATGCCCACTGTTTTCCACTTATTACTGAGGGAGCAGATTTCTCTGATGAGAAGCTGTTCATGTCTGCTGGATATCTGTCGATGATGTGGACAAGGATAGAGTTTTTGCGTCTAGTTCTTGAAAAGGGTTACAACTTCATTTTCTCGGTAAAGTATTCTCTTTTCTTATGAATGAACATGTAAAAGAGATCTGTAAATCCATTGTTTGATGTTCTTTTACCAAACATTAATATGAAGCTTATGCTCATCATTCATGCATGAGAGATCTACATTCTTGGTGTGGACAAAATGGTGCTTCACTTTCTTTCATACCATCTTTTTTGTAATTTGGTATTTAATCAAAAGCAAAGCGATGCAGATATGGATCTATCTTCATTAGGAAAGAACTTTCTGAATATCTGTTGTTGGTTTAATTGCAGGATGTAGATATCTTGTGGTTCCGGAATCCTTTACCACAATTCTATCCAGAGGTCGATTTTCAGATAGCTTGTGATCACTTCATGGGTGATGCCTTTGATTTAGAAAACATTCCTAATGGTGGATTCAACTATGTTAAGTCTAACAATCGGACCATAGAATTCTACAAGTTTTGGCATGCATCAAGGGAGAAATTTCCAGGACATCATGACCAGGATGTATTTAACTTTATTAAGCATGATCCATATCTCTTGGAAATGGGAATAAGAGTTAGATTCCTGAGCACTGCTTATTTTGGTGGTCTTTGTGAGCCCAGCAGAGATTTTAGTAAGGTTTGTACAATGCACGCAAATTGCTGTATTGGCTTAAGTAGAAAGATTCATGATTTAAGAGTTATGCTTGATGACTGGAGGACATACATGTCTCTTCCATGGAAGGTAAAAAGATCTAGGGCATTCTCATGGAGGGTACCACAGAATTGCAGGTGAAATATTTAAAAGCATGCATTAAAAGATGATTCCCTAGCTTAAGCTATATTGTTGGTTTTGACTTCAGACTTTTGTAACTTAAGATTCTTGTCTAACATGATAATCTCATCCTTCTGTTCAGTCTTGCTCCTCTAGGCTCATGATGATTGGTGGATACATGCCTTGTGGAAGATTAATGGATTCTTTTACAAATTTAGTTTGCATGTACTTCATGATGTTCCAAAAGATCATCTTTGTACAGGTTGGTATGAAATGGAAAATTTCTTTTCATTTACCCAATCATTTATTCCAGTGTATCTTATGAAAATTCATGCATTATGGTAATGATCATTGGTGAAACTGATAATTTGATGTTTGATACTGGTAACTTTATATTACAGGTATGCCTGTATATGATCAGGTAGTGCTAGTAGGTTTTGTGCATTAAATTTTATTTCCCTGCAGATAGGTCACTGTTAATAAATTCTCTTATATCATTTGTTTTAAATGGACTTATTCTCTTCGATGATGTATTGTTAGTTGGTACATCATTAAGTGTTTGAAGTCATTTGAAAAACCTAGGCTTTCCAAAGTTCTCAGATTCTGAATCACTTGCATTGCCATTACTGTCCGATGAAGTAGAATTTACTGCTGATAGATCACTAATACAAATCTCAAGCATTATCGGTCACTAATTAATGGATATATGATGAGAATGAATTTTAAATTAATTATACATGTGTAATTCAGATTCTAGTTGAACAATGTGGGTGTTGATTTAGAATCAAGGTCCTTTTTCATGTTCGTCATGGGATGGAGTGGTGTGGGTGAAGATGGGATCTAAGCTGAAACGTTGCATAACTGTGTTGGTGATGTGACGTGCCCCGCAAGAGCCTCCCATGCTCAAGTTAGTTTCTTGTTTGGAGGATTCAGTCAAGTGTCAAATATATAGGAATGTAATAGTGCTACAACAAATCAGATGCCTTATGGCATCCTAGGGGGCCCTTTAAGAGTGTGGTATATGACCATTGGATTCGAGATCGTAGTTAGTGTTAGGGATGGTTACATAGCCAACTTCATAGGCTGAGTCAGCCTCCTTGTTGGATGCGATGTTGATCGAATGGGGTTGAGGTGTTGGCCAAGTAAAGATGAAGCATCAGAGAAATGACATGTTAGCCGAGTGTTCTTCAGATGTAAGGTGTCGACAGTTGTCTACTTGGCCATATCATCTATCCCCATCCTGTTTTGACATGTGGAGCCAGGTCGAGACATAATGTTAGTTCTGATGGACTGTGGATCATATAGAGTTTCTGGTGACGGATTTAGTTGTATTATCGCTGATGGGATGCTTCCTAGCTGATTTGGTCGCACTATCATCATAACATAGTGCTTCATGGTTGATTCGACTGTTGTCATTGTGACACAGCACTTCACAGTCAAATTGGTGCTCTATCATCACAGCATAGTTCTTCACGGTCAATTTGGCTCCCTGTCATTGTAGAGTAGCGCATAATGGCTGATTCGGTCACACTGTCATCGTAGCATAGCGCTTCATGGTTGGTTCAATCGCATTGTCATCATAGCATAGCACTTTATGGTATATCAGCACTCTTTTCTTCAATAGATCTGGGTGTCGAAAATCATTTAGTTTAGGTGGTTCGATGCCACTTTTATGCAGAATCACCTAAACTAGGTTGGCACTCTCTTCTTCGGCTTTCATGCAGCACACACTATGTGCCTTTGTTGCTTTGGATTCCTGGATACATGATAGACATGTCTAAGTGTCATACATGCTCATGTGAACCATCGTTGTCACCTTGATTACCCTCTGGCATGTTGCTTCGGTTGTTGTGCATAATATGATCTGATATGATCCTTGATAATCTGCAATGAATGATTACTTGTCAATCTGATACCTGACCCAGTGGGTGAGTCCCATGTTACTGTCAGTCGAATCGTCTAGGATTTGTAGGGATCACAATCTGTATGATCAATCTTCTCCGACCAACAGCGTGCTACCATGTTGCTTGTCTACGTGGACCATCGGGCAAACAAACGGGCTGGCGATGGAATGCAAGGGTAACCCAAACCCTATAAATAAAGACCCCTTTCATTTGGTCTCCTCACACTTTCATTGCATTCGAACCATTTTGAACAACTCAAGCTAAGAACACTTTAGAGGATTCAAAACCAATCTTCTGAAGGTTTGAATGTCTTCCTCCTCTTCCTCATCATCCAGTTGGGACTTGGACGAGTTGTCGATCCTAAAACAAATTGGAAAATTGAACCGAACCAGAATCAAACTTGAACCGAATTGGTCCAAAACTAGTTCAATCAGAATTGGTTCACCAATGGTTTGGTTTTGAAAGCAATAAACAATTCTGGTTTGGGGGTACACTTCTTTGGTTCGGTTAACAAGTTCGAATCAAACTGAACCGATTTTAATTTAAAAGATATTAGTACGATTGAGTTTATTATCATAAGCCCTTAACCAGTCCAAATTGATTAATCAAACTGACCCAAAGGCCCAATTTTACAAATAACGTGGGCTCAATTTCATAAATCTTGTCGTGTCGATCCAATTGGATCAAGATTTTGGTTCTGTTCAACTGAATTGAACCGGTTCATTTGAAAAATATATATTTTTTAAATTACTTAAAATTTCTAACTGATTAACTAAACTGGATTAATCGGTTTTGAATTGGTTCAATTAGGTAGGTCCAGATCGGTTTCGGTTCAAACTACCTTATTTTAACTGAATCAAACCAAAAAAACAGTTCAATTCATCTCAGCCCTTAACAGTTTGATTCAAACCGGTTTGAACACCCCTAGTCGGTCCCATCACCACCTTTGTTGTTGGCTGGGAAGTTTTCCTCCTTCGAAGGGGTCGAAGTTGATACTAAAAGGGAGGTTGCCCTTTCGGAGGCAAATCCTTCGAGCAGTGGAGTCCCATAGTCCTCAACCAGATCCTAACTTTGATTTGTGCATTAGCATTTTCAACTTAGGGCACATTGGGGAAGTCCTCCACATTTTGGCTTGGAAGTAAGGATGGAGTTTTCTGGCTGCCAAGATTAAAGCATATGCCTACTTTTAAAGTTGGGATAGTAGTGTTCAATGTCTTTCAATATGTGGCTTCTGTAATAAATTGACTTCTGGATTTTGCTCTCTTTGTAGATTAGCATGGAGCTAGCTGCCAGGGGCATCACTGATAGATAAACATGTAACTCTTCAACAGGTTGTGGGCTTGAAAGTTATTGAAGTGAGCTAAGATACTCCTTCAACTGCTCGAAATCCATTTGGCACTATTCAATCCATTGAATTTCTTTCGATCGCTTTAAGGTTTAAAAGACAGAAAGACACCTACCAGGTCTGGAAGAAAGGAGGAACCATCTTAAAGCAGTGATTCAACCAGTCAATTACTAAACTTCCTTGAATGATATCGAAGGCTTCTCGTCTATATGGCCTTGACCTTCTACATATTGGCATCAATTCCCCCTCGATGGATCATGAATTCAAGGAACCTCCCAAAGCCAACACCAAAGTCATGCTTGGATGATTTCAGCCACATTAAGTTTGTTTTATTATTGTTGAATGTCTCTTTTAAATCACCCAAATGGGTGTTGGCTACTCAGCTTTTCAAACATCCACATAAGTGTTCATGTTGCTACCTATCTAGTGTTTAAACATCTTGTTATCATTCTTTGATAGTGAGACCAGCATTTTTTAACCCGAAGGACATAACCTTGTAGCAATACAAGCCCCTATTGGTGATGAATGAGGTGTGCTTTTCATCTTCTAAAGCCATCTTGATTTGGTTATACCTTGGTAATGCACCCATAAAGGTTAATCATTCATGTCCAGAACTGGAGTCGACCAACATGTCAATTTGAGGCAAAGGGAAGTTGTCATTTGAACAAGTTTTGTTAGATCAAGTGTAATCAATACATTTATCATTTTTCATTACTATTCTTTACAAGAACTATATTTACAAGCCATTCAGGATAAGACCTCACAAGTAAAGTCAGCGTCTTACAATCAATCTATCTACTTCTACAATTGTTGACTGATGATCTGGGGCAAATCTCCTTGGCTTCTATTGGATAGGTCGATGTTAAGCTGATTGTGTGCCACAGCACGGTCAATGCTCGACATGCCACTCGTGCCCAAGCGAAGACTGCGAAGTTGTGGCATAGGAAGTTGACCCAAGTGAAGATTTCCAAGTTGACCAGCTTGTTCCTTCTTTCTACTGGCATAGCAATGCCAACCTCGACTAGTCAGTCTGGTTGATTTGGATCCAGTGACACTTGCGAGTGGCTCCCCAACTTCTGGATGAGTTGGTTGAGGAGTCGGATCTCTTGGGTCCATCTGTTGGACTGATAGTATTGCTTTCTTGGGAGAGTGACTCAAGTTAGGTTGGGCTGCCTTGGTTGGGAACTTCAGCAACATTGTTCTAGATTTACAAATTTTCTACATCTCTTTTTTTTGGCTTTCTTGGTCTTCTGTTATACAGTAAAATTTCATTTCAGTTTATTGGTATCTTTGTCTTGTACTTTCTGTAAGAGGTTAGATGTGATATCTAAATTGGATTACAGTTAGATGGAGTTTTAGCATTAATGTGTGTGACTATCATGAGTGTTCATCTGTTTCTTGTTGTTCAGATATGTGTGTATATATACTTTAGAAGTCAAGGAATTATCAAAATTTGGAAAACGGAAGATAAACAAAAAAGAGTAAATTTACTAGGAATGTGATATCAATGAATATGTTCTTTGCTTTTGATTAAAATCACTAATTGCTCTCAGACATTGGATGCTGATTGAGGATAATCGTAATAGCATGTACTGTATTATATATTTTGGAAGGAATGCTGTCTATGTTTCTAAAAATTAGATTCCTGTGATTAATATTCTTTGATTCTCTATTGTTGCAGATCTATCGAAAGGATGTGAATCTTGTTTCTGACCAATACAAACCCGCGTCTCAGTACTTTGTTCTAAAGCAATACTCATGTAATGTCTCAGAACAGCAACCTAGTTCTGGATGTTCCTTGTCTTGGCAACTGAAGGCAAAAATCCTGACCTGCCCTAATCAAAATTCTCAACAACAAAGATGAATTTTTTCATATACATCTGGTTTGTTTTTGGACTAAGAGCATGTTACAGCTTATGCATTAAGACCACCAGATAGGCTTCTTGTTGTAGAACAATGCCTAATGGAAATAGTCCTTTCTGCCCTGTCATTTTCCAAATTTGTACACACATCATTCAAGACGGTGCATATTTTGTTTCCTAGCAATATGATACCATACTACACCAGAAGGCATGATAAGATGAACTATACATTTCTTTTTACCATCCTATATTACTCATCTCATTAAAGTATGACCAGAAAAGTTAGTGAAATGACTTGAAATTTTTGAGTTTGATACTAAAGTTTTCCTCCATGAGGTCCTTTGGAATGAAGTTTTTTACTCTTTTGCAAAATATTTACAAATCTGAGTTCACGGTATTAACTGCTTTATCAAATTTGCTCCTTCTCTTGAGAATGGTCTTTACAGTTGGAGCCAAAAAAACATGGAAAGTCACGGTTGCAGCTTGCAGTTGTGGTTCCTATCCCACAAGTATTTACTATTTAGAGATGAGGTCAGCTTCCGGTCCAAACTATTTACTGCAAGATGGGGAACATTAGCCTTAGTAGTCCTACTACATGTGCTACAAATTAAAGATGATTTTTTGTCATCATTTGCTCCAAAGAGTAAGAGACTAACATGCTGCTTTTTGTGATTTGGCGCTTTTTTTTTTCTTGTTATAAATTTGGATGCAGGATTATTAAATTCTGCAGTGCTGAAGTTTACTTAAAGAATTAGGTGATACAAGTTCGATAAATGGCTTTTAAACTTTTTCCTTTTTTTATTGTTATATTTTTAATGCCATGTCATCAAGCTACCAAATTCTGCAGTGCTGGATTGAAAGATTTCACAATAGTTGCCGTGATGGATCGCATGATTATGATCTTACCAATACATTTCTATAACCACAAAGCTCTAATTATTAGATACTTCTTTTCTTTTTTTTCTTTTTTTTTTTGATGCATGCTACAATCCGTGGCAGCTGGTCTGTCAGTACATCTACCATTGGAAAGCTTAAATTAATAATCTTCTATTAGTTATAAAAGTGTTCTACAAGTCAATGTGAGTAATAATATCGATAACAATGATTTTTTTGCTTATTATTGATATTTTATCAAATATTATCTGTATGTTTATTGTGATGTCATTGGATCTGGAGATCACGATAATGTAACCAATTCGTTCTTAAACATAGATCCTAAATTATCCTGGTTATAGATTACTCGAGAAGGACATCGAGATAATCAGTTAGATCAATATGCTGTATACTCATTCATATGATAAAGACGATTGATTTCATAGTCGCTGGATATTAAATGTACAATGTAGGTGTTCATTAGAGAATGAGTTTATTGATTGATCCGTTTATTGAATGCTAGATGGTTAATGATACTTAACTGTCACGAACTTAGCTGGTTTTGCCTAAGTCGTGCGGTACCCTTGCGTGTCTATCCGCAAGGTCCGCCTCCCCGAAGCCTCCCATGTCCCTTAGGACCCACAAAAGAGAGAACGGGTTAGAGAAAACGCCTCATTCGGGATCCACAAGCAAACATCTCCGAAAATACTTCATAGACAATGCAAATTATAAATAGACTTTATAAGCTCTGAACAGTTGCACAACAAAGGGTAAAATGATCCATTACAGATCGAAAATCTCTCACACGTGTCCACATGACACAACCTTTATTTACAAGCCTAAAGATGCCACCAACCTAACTAAAATGGGACTATTAAGCCTTCGGCCGTCCCTCTACATGCTGTACAAGGCATAAACATGCCAAAAGACACGGACATACATAAGCATTACATCAAACATCTTGTTTAGAAGTTTGTTCGTGACATTCTCCCCCACTTATTCCTTCGACGTCCTCGTCGAAGCCTTTGTCGACACTACAACTCCTCGCCTTTGCCGAGTCTTCAATCTTCTACTCTAGCTACAATGCGCCTCTTGGCTCCCAACTGCTCTCCGCTGCTGTTTTTGAGTAGTCGAACCTTTGATCCGCCATGCTGCTTCAACTCACCAATGACTCTAACTCTGGTGTGGGGTTGGCTGAGTTGTGTTGATCCTTGTTGATTCCTGCGGATCCTCCAAATGAAGGAAAAGACCATCCTTACTACGCCAGTCTCCCAAATGCCTCATGCTGCTTGAACTGGGTGGATGCTTGTTGGAGCTTTAACGAGCATCGTCTCGCAAACTTTTGAAGTTTTGGGTCATTCCTCCACAAAATTTGCTCATTGACTCTTCTTTCACTTAGTTGTCACATCCAAGTAGGTTCGCATCACTTCCGCTTTCGATTGGCATTTCGTTGGGAAATGAAGCGGACAATCTACTCTCAATAGCACTGATCACCGTTGGTGAGGATTTGACAACTATTATCTTCCATTATCTTCGAAGGGTCTTTGAACTTGTGCAGAGCTCCACTGCTGGATAGATAAGAGAATTGGGGTACTCGGTTTCGCCCATTCTATTAAGGATTGAGAAGGCAAAGGTTACTTGACTTCACCCGCCTCTTTGAGGTTATACTCCATGCATCGAGCTGGTTACTAGCCTTCGCCTGCTCTTTGCTCACACTTCTGAAGCACTTGAAGTGTTTGCACTCCTTGCATTGAGTTAGCTACTGTGATTCACCTTCTCAATGCCATCGAACTTCTGGAATACAAGAAGTTTTCACCCCAACTTGGAGTAATTTTCTCATAGGTTTGGTCGCCTTTGGGATTGTACCGTCTTCTCTATCAACCCTACCGCCTACTCCACTGAGTAGCAAAGGTACAGCACCGCGTACTGTCTGCTTCATTCTTTGGTTATGCACTCTTGCATGACCCGAAGTCCTTCACTTTCGGCTATCTTGATAAGAAGCTCATTAACACCGGTCTTACGAGGTTCCTCGACCTCTGCCCTTCAGCCTTGTCTCGGTACTTGGAGATTGCCTCAGCATGCTCCACCTCCTCGGCCCCTTTCACGACCAAGCGCTCTCCCTCCATGAGAGCAAGGGATCAATGACTTTCACGGAAGTCTCGCCTCTGCGGTACCATGGCGCTGCCATGCCCATGACCCTACTATCCATCGCCTCGCATCTGCATCCCTTTTCTTCACGATCAGTAGATATGTCTCT